ACTTTAAACATTTATTACTTTTGTTGTTTGGTTGGACGTTTTACAGGCATTTCAAGTAACACCGCACAAAGTTACTTTCCACCTTAGTTTAAAGTATGTCACATAAGTATTTCATTTCAACAAACTCTGGGGCATTGGATGAAATTTGAAATTCTCGCTTCCCCCACCACCTCATGTACACAAATCCAAGTATTTTTGTTTTTTTTTTTTCTTTTTGTATGTGTATTTATTTGATACATGTTGAAACCAAACAGTGGTTTCATGCACAATAAATGTCAATACCTATGTGGTGTTGTTGTGGTAGCGTTTTTCTAATAAATGCCCACACAATCAAACATAACCTTAATAGTTAATAATGGATATGGACCATACACATGGAATGACAAAATGGGATTCATGTAATTGACCCCATATGGTTGTGACAAATTGGATTTGGCTTTATATATTAAAATCAATAAAAATTACAGTATAATCGGATTCAGATTTTAATTGGATCAAATGGGGTCAAATCCAAATCCGATCTGATTATTAACAATGCATATTGCAAATTACATAAACATATAATCCAAATATGAGATAATCAAATTTGATACCGAATCAGACTTTCGAGTTTTAGGTTTCATTGACATGCTTACCTACATGCCAAGAGGACACCACCCACAAAAAAAAAAAAAAACACTAAAATGATCATAAGACACTAAAGCTCAATTTGGAATGGGGTTATAATTGGATCGGACTCGGATCGGATGCAACAAAATCTGCATCTGATCCAATTATCGAGAACCTACATCCAAATACAATTTGAAATATGATCGTATTTAAATACTTGGATTTGAATTCGATTCCTAACGGACTCGGATCAGATTTGGATTTAATCCGATTCCACTATAAATTTTCTAAAATGCTAGAAAAATTAAAATTTATTTATTTTTCAACTTTTATATATAATAAATTAATGTAAATATAACATGCTAAATTTATTATATATATAAATTCTTATATAATATAATATATAAAATATATTTTTATAATTTATATATTAAAATTAATAAATATTATAATATAATCAGATTCAGATTTTAATAAGATCAGATGGGGTCAAATCTAAATCCAATCTGATTATTAATCGGATTAGATTGTAACATTTAAATCCATTCCGATTACATAAATACATTATCCAAATTCGAGATAATCATATTAGATGTTGGATCGGGTCTAGATTTTTGGGTATCATTGTAGGCCTAGTTCGAAAGGAGTATAAATACAAATATTATATAGAGTGCAAAAGCTTGGATTTTATATTTTTTTGGATAAAAAACTTGTATTTTATATATAGACAGTAAAACTGATTTTGGAAAAAACTTATTTTGAAATGAATATAAATACAAATATGTATAATGAAAATAGACAAATACATTTTTTTTAATAGGTAGGACGTAGGACTGTAGGAGATATGAAATATGGTTTGACGGGGCGCTCATGAAATTCTGCAGAGACAGATCTCTCTCTCTCTCTCTGCAGAGACTGCAGACAGCACAGCAGCAGATTGCGGGTTCTATTCCATTTATCCAAGCAAGTATCAACTGATATCACCTCCTTTCTGGTCCCAAATACGATGGACTGCCCACATATGGCAATAACCCAACTCAACAAATTGTGAGTCTTTTGGTCCAACCTCTTTGAATTGAATAGGAGAACTCTCTTATGCGACTCGAACCGTACGTACTAGATGGTCAGACCATTTCAACTTGTCTTTGGGAATTGGGATACTGATCAAACGTTGACTTCTACAAATAATTTGGGACCATTTGCCTTTTCTTTCCAAGTTAACGGTAAAATTTGACAATTTGAACTGCCAGTCTGCCCAACACTGATCCAATCCTGAACCCTTAGCTAAATCGGTCGAACCGTGACCCGGGACCCTCTGGTCCGGCTATTTTCAAAACATCATCGTGTCGTATTCGAGCATTAGCGATGGCACTGGGTTGGTGAGTTTGACAATGGGAACATGGTGTGATGGACGGCTAAGATTTACTCGTACTTGTGATTGGGCGGAGAGCAATAAATAATTGTTTTTTCTTTCTTTCTTTCTGCATTTACAAAAGCAAAACAAATCCAGAAAGTCTTCTCTCTCTCCAGTTTCCCTGTGCTGCGTGTGGCCTGATTCTCTCCACGCGGAAACGAATTCACATCTGCGCCCCATAATACATCCCATCCGTGTATTGAGAACATCTCCCAATGCATGTTTTCAATACACGGTTGAGATGTTCTGTAAGGCATTTGTGGGCGCCCTCAGTGGGGTGCAGTACAGAAGTGAACTCCGCGGAAACCAACGAGAAAATATTATAACACGTAACGTAACGTTTTAACGTAACATGGATCTTGGCGTCACATCCAATGGCAGAGCAATAAATGATGCTTCTGACTTCTGACTGTGGATGGTACCTTGGTTGGTTGCAATAAATGCCCTCACCATTAAACTCTCTTCTACGATTTTCCACCATTCTCCCTTTCCCTACGAGAACCGGATGGTACTGGACCAATCATGACATGCCGCGTCATCTTATTAATAATTTTAGTAAAAGTTTTCAAAAACTCACCGGGACTTTTCAGTTTTTCTTTAAATTCACTATAACTTTTCAAAGCGTTTAGGGAACATGTTAATTTGTTTTTGTTTTTCAAAACTCACTTTTTGTTAGAACATCGTTAGGGTATCTTCGTTTCTTTTTAACTCTTATTTCTTAATAGGAATTTTTTAACTTTAAAAGAAAAATGGTTGTTCTTTACCTCTTATCTCTTAAAGTGCAATTATATAACTTTTTGTTTTCCAATGATACTCTCAAAAAGACAAATAAAAACTCTCCTATATGGGGTCAAAATTCACCAATACCAATAATACATTTTAATGTAATTATTGCACTTTTAGATGTCAGACTTCAAAACAAACGAACTGCCCTTAATGTTTATTAACAGAAGTTGCCTACATCAGCATATATACAATTTTTATAACCAAACTATCACTTACTGGGTGAATTAGGGAAAAAGGCTCATTTAGGGTTAGATTTATTCTCCTAAAACTCTCTCTCTCTCTCTCTCTCTCTCTCTCTCTCTCTCTCTCTCATCTACATTAGGTGGGTGCCACACCACCCTCTCTCTCTTGCTCAAATCTTGAAGCTAGCCGCTACACCACCACCACCACCCTCTCTCTCTCTCTCTCTCTGTATCACTTAGATTTATTGTTTGAAGGTTGCTACAACACCACCACTATCCCTCTCTCACTTCCTCATATGTTCGGTTTGAAGATGTGAAGGAGCAAAGACTATGATCAGAAATTTCAAAGATTTCTAGTGTTTTGAAATATTTGCAATGTATTGTAAATTTTTGCGACTTGAATCTAGAATGTAAATCCACATCCAGGGCTCCACAAATTTATGCAATTTTTTATTTTGTAAAATTTTATCTGATTGTTTGATTTTTTTTTTGAAAATTTGTTCCAATATTCGTTGGATGCAATGTCTACTTTTTGTATTTTTTTTAATTTTATCATTCTATTAGTTTGTTTGCAATTTTTTATTTTTGCTAAAATATATAATTTTGAAAAAAATATCATTTCTTATTTTGTTTGCAATTTTTATAAAATTTTATATATTTTTTGCAATTTTTGTGTTTTTATGTATTTTATATTTGAAAATGTTTTTTGAACTTTTCCTTTTTTCATGTATTTTTAGTTAAAATATATATGTGTATATTTTACATTTTCTATAAAGGGTAAAATGGTAATCTACTAACACCCATTAGTCTATTTAACATCAAGTTACTAACATGGGGTTCTCTAGACATTTTGAAAAGTCATGGTGAGTTTTAGACAATTTCCCATAATTTTATTTGGATAAAATTACAAAAACTCCCTTGTATTATAATATGTATTATAGGATCAATCACAAATACCCTTTGAACTTTCACAAAAAACCTCTCTAAACTATCACTTTACTTTATGAGTTCATCAACTAACTTCACAAAAGATTATCATTCAATTGTCTACAATTTTTAAATCTCAAAACTACACTTTTATTATTTGAATGATTTATGATTTGATTAATTTTTTTTTTAAATATAACATTGAAGCCCTCTTGATTATTTCAATAGATATTTGTAGATTTTTTGTTGAATTCAATATTTAAATGAAAATAGTAGGGGTTTCTTTCTTATATCAAAGATGGAGCCGGGAATTTTATTTGGGAAGAGGGATAGAATAAATATGGTTAAACCATATTTATACATGGGAGAGTGTAATAGATGTGGGCAATAGGGGCCATGGCTCCCTTGGGTTCCCCTGGCTCCTCCCATGCTTATAGATATAAATGTATGATTTCATTTGGTTTTTCTTGATTTATTAGAGAATGAGGTGAATAATTTTTATATTTTAAGATGAAGAGAGACATCCATACAAGTGAAATAGATCAAGAATTAAAAAAAAAACATTTTTATATATTAGTAAAATGATTCTTGTTATTTTTTATGTTTTCTTTTTGAGAAAATGGAGGTATTTTTTGTCAACAACGGTTTAAAGAATAGTGTGAGAAAAAAATAAAAAAAATTTGGATGGACATTTTAATAATTTAATATATTTTGTCATCTCACTTAACGGTCATAGGGGTATTTGTCGCTAAGTAAAAGTTGAGGGGCGTTTTGTCGTAAATAAAAGTTGAAAGGTATTTGTCAACGATCCCATGCCCAACTTGGTGTATTTGGGAATTTGCCATTGCTCTACAATTATGAGTAGAACTTTAGAGGATTCAATCTCTTCACAGTATCATACAAACATTCTGCACGCCAGGGTGGCGGGGTCCCTACTTTCTCCTGCATTACCCATCCAAACGACCTTTATTATATACTTTGACTCGGTCTTGGACCTCTTACTCTCTCTCTCTCTAGAAAAACCGGATCCGGTTCGACCAGGTTGTAATTTTCCAATTCCTGTTGGAAAACATATTTCACAGAGTACAGAGTACGCGTTGATATCTAATCCGAAAACGAAATTACAGTAACCTGGATTTGCTCAGGGGAGATTCCTTTGAGGCAGACGGTGGAGGAGTTTGGGAAAGAAAGGGATTCTGCTCTGAACTGAGAGACTGAGCGAAGAAGAAGACGATAGATCTTGGGCGAGTTTTACCTTGAGAGTGAGCTATGCCATGGAATATTAGTGAGTGCGTGCATGGCTCCACCACCTCGATGGCAGCCTGTCTCGTGACTCGTGCATCCATCACCTCAGCTCTAACACAAGAGACATCAACTGGGTTGTTTTCTTTCCTTCCCCTCCTCGAAAATCAGTTACTTGTTATTCTCCTTTTAGTTTTGGTTATTCTTGACTTCTTTCTCTTCTCTCTGTGCTCTGTCAAACAATTAATATAAGGACAGAGCTTTAACGGCAAGAATTTCATAAACCCAGAACCCCAATTCTTGAGATGCACAGACAGAAACAGTAGAACAAAGACAAAGATCGATTAAAAAAAGGAGAAAAAAACGCGTTAACCCATCTTTGAAACGTTGGATGGAGAAGTTCTTGGGTGGGTCAAGAGTCAGACAGGACAACTGGAAGGAAAAAAAGAGTCGTCGTGGTCTTTGTTCCCGCGGTTGCTTGTGAATTTGTGGTGGTTGGGTAGGCAGTAATAAATGGTAGTTTAATGCTTTCTTTAATGCTTGTACCGATTAAATATATAGAAAGAGGAGTAGGGAAAGCACGTGGTTCTTCTATTGCTCGCAAATCGCAATGGTGAATAAGGATTTAATTTTGGAGACTGTAATTAAATTGGTTCTCACCTGCTCTCTTTCTCTCTTCCTTCTCTGGCAATGCACATCTAGCTGGCAATAATGACCTTCAACTGGTGTCTCTTCTGATTGAAGACTTGAGAGCTCTGGCTTGCCTTGGATTCTCCCTCCCTCTCTCTCTCAGTCTCTTCTCCCCTCTCAAACCAGCCTCTTGAAGCTCTGAAAGTTGGAATCTATCTTAGTTCCTCAATTCAGTTTTGAACAAGGAAAATTTGTTCATTCTTTTTTCTTTCTCACAGATCCAAGAAGATTCTCTACCACTGTGGGTTGTCAGCTTTGTGCCAATCGGAGGTTCAGTTTCTGCGCTCGAAAGATGCCACACTTCTGAGGTAAGGAGAGAGAGCCTTGATGGGTTCCTGTGCTTTTCCACTTTCAGAGCTTCTCACCGTTGTTTCTTGAAAGAGGGAGGTTGTTGGGAGCATAGTTAGGACGATGTTGTTGTTTCGTAGTGATCCTGGTCATTTTCTCATTCTCGAAGCTTATTCGTTAAGATCATCGGATGCTGGAGTTGCAGTAGCCACCGCTGGGTTTTGATGGCTCCGGCGTAGACAATGCCGGAAGATTAGATTCTTTTAATTTATTCGTCTCTGAGTATGCGAACATGAGAAGATTCCCGCGATGTTTTTCTCGGGTTCTTCTTTTCTTCTTCTTTGGGTTACTGAGATCTATGGTCTCTCCGGAGACGGAGAAGGAGATCTTGCTCCAATTCAAAGGGAACGTCTCCGATGATCCATTCAACAGCTTGAGCTCTTGGGATCCCAACGGAAGTCCCTGCCGAGATTTCCGTGGCGTATTTTGCAATCCCGAAGGGAATGTGGAGAAAATAGCTTTGTGGAACACCAGCCTCGCCGGAGTTTTATCGCCGAGCTTATCCGGCCTGAAATCTCTCAGGATAATATCTCTGTATGGGAATCGGTTTACGGGCAACATCCCACAAGAATTTGCACGGATTACGACTCTGTGGAAGCTCAATTTGAGCAGCAATGCGTTATCGGGATCGATTCCGGAGTTTATCGGCAATTTTCAGAATCTTCGCTTGCTAGACTTGTCAAGGAATAGCTTTACTGGAGAAATTCCTTCGGCTCTGTTCAAGTATTGCTTGAAGACTAGGTTCATCTCTCTCTCGCACAACGGCCTCTCCGGTTCAATTCCCTCCGTACAGAACTGTTTGAATCTCGAGGGTTTTGATTTTTCTTTCAACAATCTCAGCGGAAGTTTTCCCGCACAGATTTGTACTCCTCCTAGAATAGCCTATCTGTCTGTAAGAAGCAATTTTCTCTCGGGGAACGTTCCCGAGCAGATTCTATCTTGCCAAAGCTTGGAGCTTCTTGATCTCGGTAGCAATTTGTTCACTGGGTCTATCCCTTTTGATGTCCTCGGATTGAAAAATATCAGTTTTTTCAGTGCATCAGTTAACCGATTTCAGGGCAGGATCCCGGAGATCAAAACCTGCAGTGATCGACTGGTAGTTTTTGACATTTCGAAAAATGAGTTAAGTGGGCAGATACCTACTAGCATCGCCAACTGCAGAAGCTTAAGGGTTTTGGATGTAGCGTCTAACATGCTGAGTGGGAGCATCCCGGTGGAAATTGCAGACTTAAAGAGGCTTTCTGTTCTCAGGTTGGGTAATAATGCCATTGACGGAAGCATCCCGCCAGAGCTTGGGAGCATTGATCAGCTTCAAGTTCTGGACCTGCACAACCTTCACCTTGTTGGGGAAATCCCTAACGATCTAAGCAATTGCAGATTTCTGCTTGAGCTGTGAGTCTAACATCGACCTAACAAGTTAATCGGTGTATACATTTTCATTCGGAATTAAACATGAAATCTCAATCTCTTGTTGCAGGGATGTTTCGGGCAATGGCTTACAGGGAGAAATTCCTCAGACCCTCTACAACATGACATACTTGGAAATTCTTGACCTGCATCGCAACCAGCTCAACGGAAGCATTCCGTCCACTCTAGGGAATCTGTCGAGGATCCAATATCTCGATCTATCGGAGAATTCGCTATCTGGGTCAATCCCGGACTCCCTTGGAAATTTAAAACTCTTAACTCATTTCAACCTCTCCTTCGACAACCTCACTGGCGTCATTCCTTTGAGTAGCAATATCCAGCTTTTTGGCGCCTCAGCTTTCTTCCATAATCCGGGGCTCTGTGGCTCTCCTCTGGATGTACCTTGCTCTGCAAATACAGATGACACCCCATCAACGGAAAAAGCCAGGGTGCTAAGTGTTTCAGCTATAGTTGCCATTGTTGCTGCTGCCGTGATCGTCGCCGGAGTCTGTGTGGTCTCCATCATGAACATCAGGGCTCGTAGTAGGAGGAGAGAAGAGGAGACAATGGTTGTGGAGAGCACCCCACCAGCTTCAACAGATTCACATCTCATTATTGGGAAGCTGGTTCTCTTCAGCAAAAGTTTGCCATCAAGGTACGAAGATTGGGAAGCAGGCACCAAAGCTTTACTTGACAAGGACTGTTTAATTGGTGGTGGGTCAATTGGGACTGTTTACAAGACCAGTTTTGAAGGTGGGATCTCAATTGCAGTGAAGAAGCTCGAGACACTGGGAAGAATCAGGAACCAAGATGAATTCGAGCAGGAGGTTGGACGATTTGGAAACCTTCGGCACCCAAATTTGGTTGCTTTCCAGGGCTACTACTGGTCATCTACCATGCAGCTAATTCTATCTGAATTCGTTCCCAATGGTAATCTGTATCAGCATTTACATGGAAATGGTTATCCTAGGGCCAGCAGTAGCAATGGTGGGAGCGAGCTGAACTGGTCCAGAAGATTCCAGATTGCCCTTGGGGTTGCAAGAGCCTTAGCTTACCTCCACCATGACTGTAAACCCCAAGTTCTGCATCTGAACATCAAATCCACCAACATACTTTTGGATGAATGCTACGAAGCCAAGGTATCTGATTATGGGTTAGTCAGGTTGCTGCCCATGTTGGGTAATTATGGTTTGACCAAATTCCACACCGCTGTTGGGTACGTTGCACCGGAGTTGGCCTGCCAAAGCCTAAGATTCAGTGATAAGTGTGACGTTTATAGCTTTGGAGTTATCTTGTTAGAGCTGGTTACAGGGAGGAAACCAGTAGAAAGTCCAGTAACAACGGAGGTGGTGGTTCTGTGTGAATATGTTAGGGGATTGTTAGAGAACGGAACGGCTTCAGATTGCTTTGATCGAAGCTTGCGGGGTTTTGCCGAGAACGAGCTGATACAGGTTATGAAGTTGGGGCTGATCTGCACCTCTGAGGCTCCATCAAGGAGACCAAGCATGGCAGAGGTTGTCCAGGTTCTCGAGTCTATTAGATCTGGCATGTTATCATAGTTGACTAAAGGATTGAAAAGAAGGGGCTAGACTATTGAGGCCAACCGGGGATGGATTGGTAAGGGAAGGGAGTGAGCAGAAAGAGAGAGAGAGAGAGAGAGAGAGAGAGGTCCTACAAGGTCTGGTTGTTGGGTTGGTGTAGAGATGTTAACTGAGATTCTGGGAAAGATGAACGGACCCCAACGGATTTTAGAAAAGAGGGGCGGTAGTGGTGGCATAGGAAAAGAAATTCTTTTTTATTCTTTTCTGTGGTTATCAGTACTCTCAATTGTTATTATAGCCAATTAGCCATTTTTCATTGCTGGTTGCTGCAATAAAATCATTTGATTCATGAATTTTAGTGGTAAAACTTGAATAAAGAAAGAGATAAACTCTAACCCACTTTGTGCCGTTGCGTTGGAGACTGGGAGTTGCCAACTCTCTGAGACACGCAAATGGAGTCAATGCCAAACTCCCTGAGGTCCAAGTAGAGAAAACTTGGCATGCCAAACTCACATAGTGCTGTTGGACCAGAACATGTTGAAGTTGGTTGTAAATTTGCTAACCCACTTCTGGGTTTTGACTGAATTTAACGTCTAACAATTTATAAAGCCCCAGAAGGATCATGGGCTTGTCGTGGTTGATTGTTCAGAGATGGCAGAAACCGACTTCTCTCAGTCCTGTCCTCGGCAACAAGAGAGTCAAAAGGGTTCAATTCCGTTTGTTTGGGAAGAAAAGCCTGGGACACCCAAGAAAGAGTGGAAATGGAAGCCTGAGCCTGAGGCTGTTCCAGTTCCGGTTAGCACGGTTCCATCTCCGGTGAAGCTTATTGTTTCTGTTCCCTTCAAATGGGAGGAACAGCCTGGAAAACCACTCCCTTGTTTCTCCCAGCGGCAGGTGGAGGTGAATGTGGTAGATTCACGAATTCTTCCTCTTCCTCCAGCAAGATTCCTATGTTTTCCATCCCCTTCCTTACTCCCTTCTAGCTCATCTCCAAACAAATCGGTTACCATGTTCTCAGGGAGAAGGAACGATGATCATGATGAATGGAAGGGAGATAAAAGACATGGAGCATTTGAATTAGACCTTGCAGAGTTTGGAATTGGCACGGATGACTCGTTCAACAAAGCTCCTTCCTTACTAGATAGTCGTATTACACAAATGGCGGCGATATCTAGCACAGTTCCGGTGGTGCATCATTGGACTTTAGACAAGGAAACAACTGGACACGAAACCCCTACCACACCAGCTTCTGAAGCAGATGATGATTCAAGTAGCTATGCCAGTGGAAGCTCCAGCCTTGTGGGATCTCCTTTCCTAGAGCGTCTATTCCCATCCATTTCATCAGATCCTGGTTTTCTTGACAAGGTTGGCTATCACGAGAAGAGTTCCCCTGTCATCACTCTGGAACAACAGGCCGAAGAACTGACCGAAAATAATTTCAGCCATATTGTTGAAAGACCACCCACACTGGGAGAACTGATGTTAATGAGCCGTAGAAGTAATGGGAGGTCTGTTGACACAAGGAGGCGGAGTCCTACCATGGTACTACTCTTCAATTCCACCTCATACAATTTTTGTTTTGAGCCAATCCATCTGCATTAATTAATTTTCAAACTACTACTACTACTACTACTATTAGCATTACCATGATTATTTTAATTGAACTATAATGAGCCAAAGGGCGGAAAGGACTCTAAGTGCCTGCTATTTTGCCCCAAAATGCTTGATGTAATTTCCATGAATGATCATCATTTCCATAGTTCTAACTCTTTGATCGGTGCGACACTGGTAGGAATTCATAAAGAAGAGAGCATTTGGGTGCTGCATGTTTGCAACTGGTGGCAACAATATGAATGGATTGCAGATGAGGCAACAAAGGCACAACATGCTGCAGCTGGTATAGCATAGGAACATGCTGTAGCTCTCTTTATCATTCTCTTCCAAATCACCTTGACTTTCACCTTCTCTATCATTGGAGAAGAGCAATGTAGACTTTTTTTCTTTTTATCATCAAGAACAATGTACACGTTATCATGAGGTTTGTAATGCTTTTATATTTCAAAAACCATAATAAACTTGATGTAGCTCAGCTTCTTGCTTTCTACATAGATTCTGATTTTGAAGTTGCTTCTGCACTTGCAACTTGGGAAGTCATAGAGATCAGCTCTAGTCATCAAGGAATATTTTGTAGGTGATCTGAGAGAATAATTTAATATTATAATGAAATGCATTCAAATATTAGATTTACAGGCTGAGTATACTTTCCAAATTCGTTCCATAACCACAAGAATATCATTTTCGGTCAACGTTGTGAAACAAAACTGGAACCATCCAGTTTCAATGCAATGACAGGATGATCCAGGAGTTGCATTTATCTTACCTATATTCAACAATTTCTCCCAAAGTTCAAGCTCTCCTTTCTCACTGTAAGGGCGGATTAGCTCACTCATGTCTGCCCAGCAATAGAAACCCCCACTGCTTTTTGTGCACTTGATTCCTAATTGCTTCAACCCATCTACGAATGCAGAATACATTCTTTGAAGTCTATCCCTACTGATCTCAAGAAATTCCTTGATAAATCTATCATCTGAAAGCATTGAGATCAATAGACGCTGTGTGGGAGCTGAAATGGATGAGAATCTTGCCAATTTTTTGGCAGCAGATAAAACATTCTTATTGTAAGAATAGATAACCCCCACCCTGAACCCAGGAAGAGAAAGATCATTGGATAACCCATATATTATATGGACCCTACTTCTGTCAAAATCCTGGGTCTCAAGAACCTCAGTTATGCTTACAAACTCTTCACTCCCATGGGTTGACCCTGCAAATAATTCATTGGAGATGATGTGCATGTTTTTCTCCCTAGCAAAGTTTAGAAGATTGTATAACATATCTCGACTCAGCAAATTCCCAACAGGACTTGAGGGGTTTGAAATAAGAACTCCACGGACTTTTACTCCTCGTTTCTTTGCCTGGTTGAATGCACGATCAAGGGCAGCGATACTTATACTGAAGTTGTCGGCACTGCGACAGGGAACAGATATCAGCTCCACCCCTGTACGTGATTTTATATCTGTGTCAAACCTGCAGATAGTGCTAAAAGTTTGGTCCCAAAACCTGTGGAAAAGAATGTTATGATTTGATAAATAGTCAAGGAAATTTAATACATACCCTGGATAATATGGAGAGGGGACAAGAAATGCATTTCCACTGTCCGCTATGCAAAAGCTGAGTATCTCAACTGCAGGGGTTGCTCCAGCTGTTAATATTACTTGTGAGGGTATAAAGGAAACTGCTCCTCCAATTGCTTTTGACATAAAAGCTGCCACAACCTGCATAACCAACAAAATTAGTCATGCCTCTGAGACTGCATATGATGCATAAGTAGCTTCTCTGCACTTAGGTATTTGCCAAAATACACCTGCCTGATTATAAATAGGCCTCGGATTTCTACATTGAAGTTTTGGGTAACCCATCATAAAGGTGGCAAGTGCATTCCCAAACATATGCTTGGTAGGTCAGGAATTCACCTGAGAAGCAATTTAATAAGACACGGGGGGCAATATTGCAACTTAGCTTACATCGGAGAAACAAGATGTGGAAATGGCTTGGAAACAATGCCAAAATGATTCAATAAGCAATGTGAAAGAGAATTCTTCAATTTGAAAATATCCTAGTATGGAAACCATTTATCTTTGCTCTTTCTCGGGGT